TCACCTTCACAAAACTGCAGGTACCATCAAAAGAATTACTTCCAGTAATTACTTTTTTTTTAATCCTCTTCCAAGTTAGACATACAAATAAACTAGGAATTTAACAGCCAGTATTTTTTCATGACAGCTAATTTCAGGCTTAAAAAATTCATTTGCATTCTTTGCTTAGTCTGAAAATGCCATTAATATACCTACGCAAAGTATTCCCCATCATTCTGCTGAGACTAGTAATCTTTTTCACAAACTTTCTAATCCTAATATATACCAAAGAATACACACAATTCTATTCTTAGGGCCTTGGCATTAAGACAAACGGCCCTTGCTGTGGATAGCTAACAAATGCCCCAGTACATGATTTAACTGTACAAAGATCTCTTTTGGAAAAGTTTGTCTTTCTCAATCTTATTACCTCAAAATTGGGCAGGTTGGATAATGAAAACAACATTCCTGAATAGAAATGAATACATGACACAACTTCAGGCCCTGAAGCAATAGACTGTCAAATACAGTACAAAATTCAAATAAAAATCTATCCACAGAGATAGACATTAAATGTCTATCCCTTCAGGGTCTTGGAGACCAAATTTTGTGCTTGGTATTTTCCCACCCTTTTGTTTTTGTACAAGTCAAACAATCTCACATTGGCTCTGATAAGTGACTTACACGTCTCTTTTCTCCCAAAGCTAGCACATCTTTTTCTTAACCCACCCCCCCCCCCAGCATTACATTTTCATTAAAAAATAAAAATAAAATATAAATTTATACAATAAATGTTATAATGAAATAATTTAGAAAAAATATGGTGAATTTCTTGCAATAGTTTTCTTTTCATAACTGCCTGAATACAAACAATTGGTGTTTTCTGTGCATTTAGAATTGAACTCATTCACTGCAGTATTCTACGAATACAATAAATCATCCCCCCCCCAAAAAAAATAAAAATAAATAAATACGTATACCACCCTGTGTACAAAAGGATAACATTCTTCATCCAATTCAAAACCTACACCAGCAACTGCACTCAAATCACCCCGACACGCAGGGTGCCCCACCATCAGTGAATGATAGTATTTAGACTGTGCATACCAAGCATTGTTTTTACTGCCGTTTCTCATTACCCATGCTGGTGCCAGCTTGGATGAACGCCATGGGAAGACGCTACAATAGGAAATACAGGTTGATTGTTCAGAGAATGGCGGGGTGCTTTTGTTTTGTATCTAAGGAAAATTGGCAGGAAAGAATTAAATGATTATATTCAAAGAATGAAGGGGAGTTTTTTTTTCTCTTTTTTTTTTTATCTAATTTAGGAAAATTGGCAGGGAAATAATTTAATGCTCTGTCATATGAAGAGAATGACCAGGGTGGTTTTATTTTGTATTTGAGGAAAACTGACAGGAAAAAATTAAATGCTCATATTCTGCCAGCCTACGCAGAATACGCATCTTATGTGGGCCCATCTAATCACTTCAAGATGCACATTCATTTATACTTATTATACTATATTTTTAATCACATAAAATGTTACATTTTGCAACAATTTGACAATTCTAAAAATGTATCTTCCTTATTGTTAGTACTGTGTGGCACAGGACAATTTCTTTGTGTCAGAATAGACACATGTCTGCATAATTCACAAGCTCTGACAAATATCATATCCGCCAGGCAGCCATATTACATGTATCACGTAGTAACTGATTATAAATACCTTTATTATAATATCGTCTGTGTAAACCTATTTTTTAAATCCTCACTGCAGTTATAGCACCATAGGTTTAGAATATATTGTTAGGTCAAAGTCATCGTAAATATGTACTTTACGGAAATAAAATAAATTATAGCTTTCCACTGAAATGTAGTTATGTTTCCTCAAGCCAACCTCCTCAAGCCAACCTCCTCTTGGCCATATAAACTAAAAGGATCTATAATCTAATTCTCTCTCCTCGACAGACTGAATCACAATACAAACTCACAAACTGGTGCTGTAATCCTTTACGACAGAACCACTTCACATTCCACTGAGCAATTTCTTAAATAGATTAAGGAGACCAAAAGCCGTTTGTCCACTGCAGAGTAAAATACCAAATATCACCTGACAATAAATAGTTTCTTTCTCTACTTAAATATGTAAATTTATACCTTTCATATGTATATACTAGGGTAGTGCTAACACTCGCCAATTTACCCAAATGCTAAAACTGGCTGAAATTGGCTAAAGAAAAAGGGCTAGATTTGACGTGTTTTAGCCAAATTATAGCCATTTTAATAACAAATTGACAAAAATGAGGTGATATGGCTAAGCGAAAAAAATTTCAAGCGCTACCCCAGATATAAATAACAAGATCTTTATGGTTACCCAACTCACCAGAGTTTAGCAGTACATACTTCATAATTTTACTTCTTGGGGGGATTTAATGGTATTTTATGCTATACAGATGGGTTAGTGACAACTGTGGAAAAAAATAAGTGGACAAATCACATTTTATGGCCCAGATGCTCAGCTCATAAACTTGGTTTACAGATGCACTGGTCTTTAACCTTTCTTGGTAATATCTATATGGTTCATTAGCCAATTATTTAAAAGGTGTATGAAAGACAATGAAAAGAAAAATGAATCTAATATAATTAGCACTGTTCTTATGGACTACTAGTACTTATATGCGAGGGAATAGCTATAAATCATGTGAAATTTACACTTAATCATACAACAGAAAAGCGATTATTTCATTTAGACCAAATTAGAAGACGAAAGATACAAAAGATGACCTCATATCTGTAAAATGGTCAATTTTCCTCGAAAGCTCAAGATCTGTCACACAGCTTTCATGAAACTAAAATAAATTCAAGATTTATCCTTTTTTCCCTACATCTTTTCCTAAAACCAATTCAGTCTCCCCCAACTCCCATACGCCAGAATATCATCAATCTATATATAACTCAGTGTATCAACACAACAGATGGGGAGTCGTTCTATAACATCAGCACAACTCACCCACAGCCAGTCATTTGTGCTAATCACACAATTAATAACTACGCATATGATACCAGACTAAAAACAACAACAAAACCTCCTTAAATCAACTCAGACTCATTAACCTAATTAGTAACGATCCAAACAGTAGACAGAATGGTGCATATCGTCGTCTTATTTTCCCTCCAGCAGTGAAAAGAATTAGCTAGTCAATTTCACAAATGGAAAGCGGGGACTCTGGCTTCTGCGGGGAGATGATAGGAGCAGAACGGCTGTAATGCGAATCAATAGGACTCAAATCCCAGATGGTGGTGCATTTAACTACACTTCAGCCTACAAGCCTCCGTGTACACTTTCTTTGTAGATTAAGACCAGACAACAATAACAACAGAGAAAAGTTTCAGATCTTCCCATTTCTATAATCTGCAGGGGTTAACTGTTCTAATGCATGTGGCTATTTTTTTTTTCAGAAATCCATTCACATGTTTTAGTAGGCTATTTCAAATCTATCTTATACTGTTCACTGATGCAAAATGCCGAGCACGACAACAGGAACAGTTCTTGGTCACAGCTGACAATCTTCAAAAGGAGCAGTACAATGGACCTGCGAGTTTTGTAAGTAATAACATATAAACAAATGACAGTGGACTACTGGGCACAGAGAGAGCAACATGATATGAATATTCCGAAGACTGAATTTGCCTTCCAATTACAGTGACCTGGAGATAATAAATAAATCCTTCTTAAGCATTCAACCGATCACATTTGGTGGTGCTTCAGTTGTTAATCTGGGTTCACAGCCAAGGCTGTCTAGACAACATATTTCTTTATCCAAGCCAAAGTCATGCAACTCAAACACTCCAAGAAATCACTAAGCTTAAAGACATACCAAATCAGGTGTAATTAAGGCAAATGTATGCTGCACTATTCGCATTTTTCCTTTTCATGAGGCGAAGTGAAATTTAGATATGCATATTTCTTCTTGAATTGGATACATATACTAGTATGCAATGGTCTACAGTATTAAAGAAGGGGCTTTAAATATCTATAAGGGCATCAGATCTTCTGACTGCAAAGTACTGCGTGACCTCTCCTTCCACATGTGAATAAAATTGCACTTAACATAAAAACTGATGGAGTTAGAAAGAGTGAAATCATCTGTGAAGTCAAAGGTTTTTGGATGGATAAACCATCTCATATTCACCAACCAAGCTCTGGAAATGAGTACAACTTCAATGTAACCTTACAGACCACATACATGTTGTCATTGATTTTAATCAAAATACAAAATAAATAAGATAACGCCCATGTTATTAACAAATCCCATATACTTTTTACACCAACAAAACTTGGACCTGACAGCTGTAAATAGGAAAATAATGACACCATCTAGTTGACTTTAAACGGTTTATCCGCAGTTTGATAACAGAAAACTGAATCATAATATGGGTCATTCAAGTTCAGTTTAACCGCTGAGATCAGTCGACACGATTACTCCATTGACAAAACGGTGAACTGCACCCTAATATGATCTGTGTTTAGTATTGTAACAGTAACAAGTAAATCATTCACACATGACTTGGTACATGTGTCCTCCAGTAAACCACACCGTCAAACACCTTATAAATAGAAGTGCGATTTACCTGAAAAGCTTGACTCAGAATTTCTTCTACCCTAAACAACACGCCCTATCCCACACCTGTACTGTACGACTACCTGTTAGCGCCTACCTGTTGGGATGACTAACTCAGAAGCCTCCGATCGTAAACTGGAACAGCAGTCAACTTGTCAATTTTTACCCCGACTCTTCTCTCCTCTACTCCTCGTGTCGCGTTATGCGATCAGGTTACTGTAATTTAAATTCCTTTCAAATTCTTTCTCAAATCGTCTAAAAGAAACTTGGTTTTGTTAATCCTATCGACTTCTATGTGATGTTGGCGTGTTATCAACTCATATGTAGTCCGTGAGTTTCTGTAACGCTGACCAATTTACACTGGTAATGAAGTTAAAAGAGTTTACAAATGTTACTCACCGACTCGCTCCGTCGCTTGTTGGGCCAATGAATGAGCATGCGTATGATGCCGGAAGTGATTATCTCAATGGCCAAGACAAGCCACAGGAATGTCAGGTGCGTTAAGGAAGCAAGCGACATCTATTGGTACTTTTTTCAACTGGTTTGAGCGCGCGTGGGCGTGCGTTGAGAAAACGAGTGTCTCGCAAACGGCTTTGTGTTGGTGTGTTTAAGACTTAAGGGCCTTTATTTCTGCAAAATATTAACGAATAAATGTTTTTACTTAAGAAAAATAATGTTAATTGGCCCAACTAACTGACATAGTTTTCTAGTATCTTATTTTTTTAAGAAAAAAATCTTAAAATAAATCGAAGCTATGAGGTGCTATAAATCTTATAAATTTTTATAACGAAGGACTTTTTTTCACAAACTCCAGTGGCCCGTTTCGTTATAAGTCTTATAAAATAATGAACACCTTATTTTCTTTCAGTTCTCCGTTGGCGTTAAAACCAGGAAAGTGAATTTTGAATACTTTGAATATTTGTTGCCCAAGAAATTTCTTTTGTAATCATTTTATTCATTTATTTTTATTCTTCTATTAATTTTTAGATATCTTCTTGAGAAACGCAACAGTGAACGACCTGCGCCTCTCTCTCGCAGCAAGTTCGCCTTGGCAATGTCAACCTAGTGACGGCACAGGTCTCTTAAACATGGCGCACAATTAGGGCCCTATATTGTATTATATAATGACCGCATTGTTAGCCTCTCTTTTCTGTGCTATTTATTTATTTATTTATTTATTACTAAAACCACCTTAAAAGATGAATAAAAAAAAATAATATATGTGTAAAATAATACAATAAAACAGTAATTAAAACGATTTTAAGAGCAGTCCCGCCAACACATATTCTTTTGAGAGTCTGTTCTGATAGCTGGGGCTGTTTACCAAAAATCTCAGCGTATCAACCAGTCCTGCCGGTGCATGCAGGTCCGGGCCAGCATTCCGGATTCCCGACCCACTCAGACATAAGATCGGGTTCGTACCGTAAGAAACAATCCTCTGCAACGATCGGAGCAACGACCCCTGCACTATGGAACGATTAAGCATAAAATAAGACAGCTGATGAGTTAAAAGTTTAAGATATGGTGTGTCAATGCTCATTACCCTGCGGTATAGTGATTCCACATTTCTAGATATAGTATAACTAATTTTCGGAACATGTAAGGCTTCTAAGAGAGCAGAGGTATGAGATCGCGAACATAAANCTGCACTATAGACCGATTAAGCATAAAATAAGACAGCTGATGAGTTAAAAGTGTAAGATATGGCGTGTCAATGCTCATTACCCTGCGGTATAGTGATTCCACATTTCTAGATATAGTGTAACTAATTTTCGGAACATGTAAGGCTTCTAGGAGAGCAGAGGTATGAGATCGCGAAGATAAACCCATGAATCTTGTGACCTGTTTGTTTTGTAATGTATCCAGGTCTTTTATATTTTTACGAGACATACAGATAGAGTTAGTTCCATAGGTTATGACGGGGGACACCAGTGCACCCCATATATACGATTTGGGTTTTGTGTCCAGACCCTTATAGCACACCCCATGCGACATTGCTCCATAATACGCCTTGGTTGCAGAACAAATTCTAGCAGCCGTGTGGTCATCCGCCGTGCAGTTGCTATTAAAGGTCATATCCAGAATATTTAAAGAGTCCGTCGTTTCCATAGGATATCGACCTAAGAACCACGAAGGGGGTGTTTTTAATAATACTTCATACCGTCATACATTTTGATTTTTTGAGACTAAATTTCATTCTCCAGCGCAGGGAGAAGTCATAACAGATATTAATCAGCTCTTGAAGTCCAGTCACAGTTGTAGAAAAAATTGTTAAGTCATCAGCATAGATAATATTATTGTATAAGTTATTTCCGATTAAAACACCAGCTTTTGTAGAGGATAATTCCTTAAGCAGCTCGTCAATAAAAATGTTAAAAAGGATCGGGGATAAAATACTACCCTGCCTTGTTCCCCGGGTAATTTTAAAATTAGCACTATATGAGCCTCCCCACCTTACTGAAGCACTTAAACACTTATACAATTTATAAAGATATAACCAATGTGAATCGGGGAGGACATCAAACAGTTCATAGAATAGCCCGTTGTGCCAGATCATATCGAAGCATTTTTCGGCGTCGAGGCTGCACATATACAAAGGCGAGTCACCGTCTTTCACAGTGCACATAATATCATTTAAGAAGCTGCAAGCTATATGTTGTATACATACATACATACATACATATATTTATATATTCATACATACATACATACATAGCAGCTCATTATAAAATGTTCTGAACAAGATCCTATCCGTAAGGCCTACTTCGTTCAAGTGTTTGAAAGGATGACGAAATTGAACCATCCAAAAAAAAAAAAAAATAATAATAATAAATAATAATAATAAATAAATAATAATAATGAGGTTAATTACACGATAAAAGTATTTTATGTATTCATATACATTTATTGCGATATCTGATATCAATTCTGATACATCAAGTAGAATGTTGACATTATATTTAACTCCTTTTTGGAAAATGTATTAATGTTTGATATTAAATTAAATTTACCCGTAAAGTTTTTCAAAAGATTTAAACTTAATTTTCAACAACGCTTCAAATGAGATGTAGTCCAACAGTATGTGTTTGAATTAGTTTTCTACAGCAGCACACTTCGTGCACTCAGTTGGCACCGTTCCCTGCAAAAAAAAAAAAAAAAAAAAAATCAACAGAAATATTTTAAATGTAAGGCGATTAAAGAAATCAGTTTAACTGTAGGGTTGTATGTATACTATTGTGCACGTGTTGGTCATAATGTGAAAACTCTGTGCTATCAAGGAATTATAGGTAGGAAAAAAAAAAAAAAATATATATATATATATATATATATATATATATCACTGGAGTATTTAGATTCGCTCAGAAAATACAAAACAGACGAAAAGGAAAATTTTTTCATAAAATATTTGGGCCCACGGTTAGAACCGTTACTTAGTTTTGTCTGGATTCACTAGTATATATTTTCACATTGAGGAGATGGAGGGGGGGGGGGGCACATATTATCTCCCAGAATAAAGGGGTTACTTACATAATTGGGTGGAATACTGAGCAGAGATGCCGGACCATTGCAGTAACAGTTAGTCGAGCAGCTTTGTGCCCCACAGCAGGAACCAAATCTCCCTCTGCCCCAACACTGGAGGCGGCAAACAAAAGCTCCAAAAACGGAGCACCCACTTGGTATGGTAATGGTTTGCGCAGAAGTAGCGCTGATCATGAGGAAAACTGAAAAGGACCAAAGTGAACAGTAAAATTATGATGGTGAAATGTCTACTGGTTGGGATGGGTTGAACAATGCCCAGGTGTATGCAACACGATTTTTACTCTGGCAGATCAAACTTGTTAAAAATGTCAGCATTGGTGAAAAATGACTTTCACATTGGTAAAAATCGTACAATTGCCTTGTATGTTGACTAAAGGCAATAGAAATATAAATTTGTTTTAACGTAAGTAAGATTTCTAATGTATAAAAAATTTACAAATTTTTTTGAGAACATAAAAATCTTATGATATGTCGCTTTTGCCAAGACAACTGCCGGGGCTGATGCTGCACTCACCAAACAGAAGAGCGACGCCAAACTTGGTTTTCATGATGCTGCGTCGAGTCGACAAATCGGTCAAAAGTCTTTGCACTTATGTTTGACAGCTTTCTTTTTATACAAAAACGGGAGGCCATTCTACGATATAGACACTGTCGTGTCAATGAGTGCTATCTGGCTGAATCTAAAAAACTTTTTCATTATTAGACTTGAAGTGCAATTTCATAGCTATCGACACGAGACGATTTTATGGCCCTATAATCAAGATTACATAGTCATCTGTTTTTTTCTTTCGCATAATGGAAAAACACCACTGATCAACCCCCGATTAGCAAATAAACAAACAAATAAATCTCTTTGTGCACACAATCTGGTCTTTTTTCCACCTTTATCGGGGAAGGAGAATGAGCCAACAATCAATTTTCTTTGAGGGGTCGCACGTATTGAGAAAAGTAAATGCCAGCTGCACGTTTTCTTGAATAACCAGAATAAAACTGTCTGATGCCATTTGGACAACAAACGTTCACTAGAAGTCTTTTCTACTGAGCTACTCAGTAATCTTACGTTCTTGATGTTTGAAAGATCCTTTCATAATAGAATAATTTTCTTTGTTTTTGCAGAAGGTTATTTTATTGTCGGTTCCCAAGACAGGCATGGAATTGAACCTGGGATCTTTGGACTCCGAGGCAAATAAAAAATACAGATTCAAGGATGTAGATGTAAATGAATTTATTACATCAAAAATGTAATATACATTCAATGATAGTAATGATGCAAGCATTTGAACAACCATTTTGTTTACATGTTCACACATTCTTTAATTATCTAATTAAATATTGATTTCATTTCCATATACACAAAAATATTAAAAGCAATCTTAAAAGTCAATTATATACATATATGTAAAATAACAACACAATTATGGTTACAAAAGATAAACCTGAATGTTAGTTTTAGTTCACCACCTTTGCCTTTGTCAAACAAAAAGCTGTACTTGATATATTGCAATTACATTGGGTTTTCATGATACAAAATATCCAATGACAATATTTTCCCTTAACATGATTGATCTTCTTGGAATTAGTCAAACAAATATCAACAATAAGGTTTCACTTGATGGTTCAAGGGGTCTCTGGATTTCATGTCCCCAAATACTACAGTCTGGAATTGTCTCTGTGATAGTCAAAAGCTACACAATAACCTACATCCATCATTATGAAAGACAGTGAAGTAGTTGTCCATATCCACAGAAAAACTCTTTTCCTTTCAACATTTTACACCTGTTTCCCACTTTGTCTCAGCACAGAAGCCAAGGATTGTACACAGGTCTTTCCAATGGGCATCAATTTGCTAAGCTTTTTCCTGATTATGTCCATGTTTGAGAATCTTTCATCATTGAAAATCTAAAA